TCCCGCCAAATCTATGTATCGCTACCCGCACCTCCATCTGCCACAGTTTGCCATAAACCCACTAATGGAGGTGCGGGTAGCGATACATAGATTTGGCGGGACTTTTTATGGTGAAAAATGTAGCCAAGTACGTGGCTTAATCAGGAAGGATCCACTGCACTAACGTTTCTGATCCCTGGAACCCATAGCAAGGTGAGACCTGCTGTGATATATGCACGAAAGGTGGGCGGAGGGTCGCATTCGCCCAATTCCCCTCACGATCATGTCTGGCGTGGATCGGCGGTCTTGGGATCGAAACGATGGAGAGCCGATCAGAGAGCCGATCAGTGTTACACCCAAAGAAGAGGGACATATAAATGGGCGCACCTGGTCCCAACTTCTCAAAGGCAATGCCACCACAGAGTGTAGTGGTCCAACAGGCCCAGCAAAATGCCTTCCTCGCAGTCCAACGGCGGCCGCACGGCCGCGCGCGATTTCTATTCGACCCCGCCCGGGGCCCAGGGCTACCACATTCCCCAGGACACCACCTGGCGAGACCCCCAGAACCGCAAGATGCGCGTGTTGACGATCGGGGCTGGGGTCAGTGGGATATTGATGGCGTATCTTGTGCAAAAGGAGTGCCAGAACGTCGAGCACGTCGTCTATGAGAAGAATGAAGACATTGGAGGTAAGCACTGGGGATCCAATGACGATATCCTCGTGTTGTCCTGTCATGCACGACATGGAGGACGGTAGCTGCAGAGAGCTGACTCGACTCCCGCGAACTAACGTGGGGCGTGTCCCAGGCACCTGGCTAGAGAACCGATACCCATGTGCCGCGTGCGACATACCAAGCCACGCTTACAGCTATCAATTTGCCCCGGTAGGTGACTGGGGAGGGCTACCATTGGGCCGGAAGCTTATATTGATGCCAAGCCTTTTCAGTATCCCGACTGGCCCAGGTTCTTCTCGCAGTCGCCCGAGATATGGACGTACCTGGACCTGGTGTGCAAGACATTCGACCTTCGCAAGTACATGACCTTCTACACCACGGTCACGGGCTGTTACTGGCAGCAGGACAAGGGCCAGTGGCTTGTCAAGCTGCGGCAGGCACAGCCGGGCCGGGAGCCGCGCGAGTTCGAGGAGAACTGCGACCTCCTGCTACACGGCACGGGCGTCCTGAACGACTGGAAGTGGCCCGACATCCCGGGGCTGCACGACAGGTTCAAGGGCCGCGTGGTGCACACGGCGCGGTGGCCGGCCGACTACGCCGAGGAGCAGTGGAAGAAGGAGCGGATCGCCGTGATCGGGTCCGGCTCGTCGTCGCTGCAGACGGTCCCCGGGATGCAGCCGCACGCCAGGCACATGGACATCTTTGTGCGCACGGGGGCCTGGTTCACCGTCATAGCCGGCAACACGGGCGACCCGTCCAAGACGTACACGGACGAGGAGCGCGCGAGGTTCCACGCCGACCCGGCGGCGATGCTGGCGCACGCAAAGTCCATCGAGGACGACATCAACGGCCTCTGGGGGTTCCAGCACCGCGGCTCCGAGACGCAGGAGGCCATCAAGGCGCAGATGGCCGAGCGCACGCGGCAGAAGCTCAACGGCAACGAGCGCCTGGTGGAGGGGCTGAAGCCCGGCTTCGGTTTTGGCTGTCGCCGCATCAACCCGGCCGACCCGTACCTCGAGGCCATCCAGCAGCCCAACGTCGACGTGCACTTTACGCCCGCGGCGGAGTGCACCGAGCGCGGCGTCGTGGGCGCCGACGGCGTCGAGCGCGAGGTCGACACGGTCGTGTGCGCGACCGGGTTCGACACCAGCTTCGCGCCGCGCTTCCCCGTCGTGGGCCGTAGCGGCGCCGACCTGCGCGACCGCTGGGCGCCGGGAAGCGGCGGCTGCCCGGAGTCGTACCTGGGCCTGGCGGTGCCGGACCTCCCAAACTTCATCACCTTTGTGGGCCCGCCGTGGCCGGTCCAGAACGGCAGCTTCATCGGGCCGCTGCAGTCCGTCGGGTTATACGCTGTCAAAATGATACACAAGATGCAGAACGAGGGTGTGCGCAGCTGGACGCCGCGCGCGGACGTGACCGAGGACTTTAACAAGCACGTGCAGGAGTGGATTAAGTCGTCTGTGTACACAGACGATTGCCGAAGCTGTAAGTGCCTGGAGAAGAGTACCTGGAGAAGGGTGGGTGCGGACAAGGGGCTGTAACTGACGAGATGAGCGCTGTAGGGTACAAGAACAATGACACGGGCCGCGTCAACGCCATCTGGCCGGGCTCGTCGCTGCACTACATACAGGTGATCGAGACGCCGCGCTACGAGGATTTCGAAATGGAGTACTGTGCCAAAAATCGCTGGGCCATGCTCGGCATGGGGTTCACCGTGGCTGAAAGAAACAAGGAAGGGGCTGACCTTTCGCCCTATCTAAAGCTGGAAAATATTGATCCGAAATGGTATGTCGTCTGCATCACCGCCGGGCCGTCGACTAGTTTTGCTAACGTGCTTCGGGGTGGCAGGCTCAACGAGGTCATTCTTGGTGGCAAGGGCACAGGGCCCAAGGTGGATGGTAACGGCACGAAGGGGACTAATGGAAACGCACACGAGGGGGCCTTGGACGGGGATCATGCAAAGATCTGAGGAGATGGTCCGCCTACAGAACTGGGAGACGCCAGACGTGCCGTCCTGCGATTCAAGAAGAAAGTAGCTGGGATCGGCGGGATTAGGAAAGGCCTCCAAAACGAAATCCAGCCGACAAATGAACAATTAATTACATTTGGCCATTTTTGGACGCAAGGAAGATGTCGCTGGATCGTGTCCTGAGTGGATTTTTGGCAGAATAAGCATGCCATCTCGAGTCTGCTTCCTTTACTAATAGGCCCTTTGGTTGTGCGTGCACGTTTTTTTTTCACCTGGTGCCTGGCTAGCACAGCGTCGCCGAGGAGTCGGTCCGCGCGGATTTCTTCGACGGCTCCTCCTCCGCCAACGCCAACGCCAAGCTCAGCCGTCGCGACCGCTTCGCCCGCACTACCACACGCGCGCGCACTGCCGCTGCCCGCGCCGCAGACAAGGGTGCCAGGCTCCCGCCAGAGATATTCCTCCGCATCATCGAGTTTGCTATGATCAGCCCCGACCCCATCATCGACCCGCTGACCAAACCGGACAACCGGAGCAATACTTGTGTCTGTGCGCCTGCAGAGGCTGTGGAGCGCCTGCCTACCTCTATGCTCAGACAAGCCGCCGGCCGTGGTTCTCGCACAAAATGTGTTGCTAAATGACTGGCCATTTGCTCCTAAGTACTTATGAGGAATCCCCAGCACCTGCTGCGAAGGGTCTGCCTAGTACTGTCCTTGGGAAGTGTTGCGAGAATCTTACTGAGTGAACCTGTACGGTTGAGTTTTATATTTCGTATCCGCAGGCTCCGGTTTGGTGGTCTACATGTGTTTGATCGGAGTTGTGCGTTTTACATTCTAGGAATGACGCTAACTAAGCTGAGTAGGAGACGAGAACACGACGGGTGCCGCAGCCACGTTTGCCGCGAGCACTATCGTCCCGGCGGACGGCGACAACCTAGCACTGTCACCTCCCAAGCCACCTCGTCAGCCACCAAGGCCAGCACTTGGACCAAGGCTTCCAAACGCGAAGAATAGGTACGTTATCCCGGCTTAACCACAACGCCAGCCTGGACGAAGTGTACTATACGGATGGCCCCGCTAACTAGTGCCCGCAAGTTCGTCACGACATGTACGGTTAAATGCGTTTCTTCTTCGTATCTAAGGCCCATAGCCAGCCCTTTGCTCACTGACACAGGCACTGTCGCATCCTCCTCACTGTCTTTCTCTCCGTCCCGAAGTCGATCCGTTCGTTCGTTCCGAGCACACCTTAGATAGTGGTGCAAAGTTATCCCCTCGCAGCTATGGTTGTGCCGGAATCGCTGTCTGGTTGATTTTTTTTGTTACGCCGTCACCGTATCGGAAGTCGTAGTTTCCGCATGGCCTTCGCTTGTGACGCCCTCGCCTGAAGATACGCAGGACAAAGGAGGAAGAGAACGGATTTATTATCCGAGCTGCTAGCCTGGGTGGAAGGAAAAGCTTCCAACCCGACCCCGAGCGACACGCGCATGATTGGCAACAAGTTCTGTCCTCTTTCCAGAAAAGCCGGGTGCAAACTTCTGATACTGGCAATGTTTCGTTGTAGATAGCTGTCCATGTATCTTGTTCCAAGGCTCTTCCTGCTGCACAAAAATACTCTGATTTCCAAACTTACACCATGCCGCATCTGCCTTGATGCCGCCTTGTATTTCCCACTATGGTACCCAAGGCAGCCATGGAATGCAGCCCGTAGCGCCTGCTCAAAGGGATTCTTCTGGAAGGCTTGCCGATAATTCCAGTTTGAGAAGGTGCGCCTTGACCTGGGAGGTAGTTGTGATTTGGCCGGAAGGTGCGATCAGCCTGGCCCCACTACTATTTTTTTTTGGCTGGCATACATATTCGAGCGCAACCTCCGTCCCCTCGTCCTCCATCTTTTCCTTTCTTCAAAACAACCATCACAGACCGTCCGGCCGCGTTTTGCCGCCGCCGTCGCCGCCATCGTCGCCACCATCGCCTTCGCCTGTCGCCAGTCCGCTTTGCGGCTGATTTTTTTTTTTTTTTTNTTTTNTTTT